AAGTAGTCTTTTTTTTAGAGGATCGAAAGACCAGCCTTTAAATGTGGTCTCTGAATTGGTTAAGAAGACTGTTTAAATAGAATTGATTAAAACTGTTGAATAAAAAAATGATTACTTTAATTAATTTAAAAAAATAAATAGATTTAATTTTAAATTTAAATTTAAAAATAAAATTTCTTTGTATTCAACATTCATTGAGAGAAAGATGTGTCATGATGTAAAAATAATAAATATATTTATTTTTACTTATAAAATTAATATTTGTTTATATTGTCTATTATATATTTATCCCAATCAATAATTTATTTTTGACGTCTAAACTATAAATTACCTATTTTAAAACTTGCTATCATATCTTCTATATATACAATATCATCACTATCACAGATTACTTTTAATTGAGCTTTTTCTAATTTAACTATTTTGTGAAATAAAAAAAATAAATTTTCCAAAAAAAAGTTTATATAATAACTAAAAGTAAACAATAAATCTATAATCGCTAATACTGAAACATAAATTTCCATTATTCATTATCGCGCATCGTATCCTCCATTCATACATTCATCCGTCCGTTCATTCATACATCTATTCATCCGTTTCATACTGAAAAGCTACAGAATAATTTCAGGGTTCAAATTTTAGTAACCAGAAATTTATTATCATAATACAAAATGAACCTGAACGATCTGCCTATAGCGCGGTCAAACATGTCATAAAGGCAAAATAAGTGCACGGTAAATATTTCAAATCCGAAACATTTCCTTCAACAGGAAAAATGATTTTTATTCCAGCATAAAAATTGTTATAAATTTTTTGCTCTAAATCCCCAAAATAGACGGGTCGTCTTTTCGAAGCATTTGCTAGTACTTATTGGTCCACAATATATTACTAGCCGAGATATTAATATTAATATCTGTTCTGGTTTAGAGTGAAATTTGCGGGCCTTTTTTTTTGAAGCTTGGCTGAACAACCACATCCACAATTTACCTACTTTAAATTTAGGGTTGTATTTGTCGTAAAGGTCTCAAAAGTAGTCTTTTTTTTAGAGGATCGAAAGACCAGCCTTTAAATGTGGTCTCTGAATTGGTTAAGAAGACTGTTTAAAAAGATTAAGAAGGTCAGTTTAAAAATGCCGGTTAAAGACTATTTGGTTCTGGATATTTGTAATTAAAATTATAATAAGCAAAGTTTATTTATTTATTAACCGTTGTATACATATTGTGTAATAATGTAGTAATAGTTATTATATGAATAAAAAAACCGGGATTAATCACAAGCACAAAAACCTTAAATTTTAATAAAGATTACCAATTTTGAATGGGTCACGTGTATAAGAATTTTATTATTGGTTATTATTGTAGTACATGATTTACACAAATATTAAGAGTATTGTGATTACTATGACTCGACTCATTACATGGCTACTTCTTAGTGCCTACATCTGGACCTCTCTTCCAATATACTAACTATATTGTTAAATGTCATTTGCTTAGTGGCTTTCGTTGTATATAATTATCTTCTAGATCACTCGTGGCGCAATTTTTTCTAGATATAGAGTTTTATCATTACGCTTTTAACTTTGTGAATAGCACTGACCGGAACCTGAAAGGTCATCTCCAATTTAATTCTGATAGCAAACAAGAAATTTTAAAGTGATAAAAAAATACAGAGAAATTATATAATAAGAAGATTTTTGAAAATTTGGATCAAGAGTTTTGTATTCACTTTCAAAATTAAAAATTAACGTTAATTCGATCGATTTATCTAAACAGCATGCACAAGCCCTTGAATCTTCATAAATTCTGAGGCTGGTTACATATATATATATATATGAATCTTTTTTGTGTTATGATGGAGCATTCGAATAATTGACATAAATTATAGGAATAATACCATTGTAATGCATGAATTGCATGTTACTCTTATCAGTTAATCAGTTATTGATACTTTTGATTACATTACTAGGATCAAATTGTGTTGAACGTAAATTTTAGAATATAATAATGCAAGTATTTTTTCTACTTGTTAAATTGTTTATAATGATAGACATGATGAACAATTTATAGACTACTTTAATTTTACAACAGGAATTAAATAGTTGAACTTATGCATGTTTATAACAATTCCGTCCGATAAGTGTTGCAATTATTATCTAATCAGAGTGGCTGTTGTAAATTTGGAAGATGATAGAAGATTATATCGTTATACAAAAATCTTAATACCAAATTCTGACTAAGAAAAAAACCATTGCTAGTATGGTTAAAAAGAGGGTAAAAAGTAAAGGATAATGTGAAAAAAGTAACTTTGAGTCTATATGCAGCTTTTCATGCAAAACATTGCTTAGAAAAACTATACAGTGTAGATCTTGGTTTTTTTTATTTATATATAAAATAGAATATAATAATGGAACATTCTATTCTTAATAAATAATTTAACTAGTAGGCAATAGTGATATTTCTCCGATTATTTTAAACTTCTTAAATGGATTAATTATTATAGTAACTATCTTGTTACCTATTTGAACTTATAAAAGCCTAATTTACTATATATTGTGTAACCTGACAATTTCGGGCTTAGAGAACAAGCCATATCGCGGTGTAAAATAAAAAACCATTACGAGATAAATAATCCAGATATTTTTCTGGTGTTCCAATTGTAAATATTTGAATTTTTTTATTTCACTTAATAAGAACCATCATAGAGGGTCAGATTAGGATGAGTTCGAAAGCCCTACGATGCGTCCGAATACTCAATGATCGGTGTCAGGATTTTCTTCTTTAGTTGCTCATTAATAAGAAAAAATAGGACATCGGAAGTCCGTACAACAACAACATTACATTCCCTACATTGAAAAAAAAAAAAAAATGCTACAAGAATGTTTCTGATTTTTCGTTGGATTATATGAACTGTGTAATTCAATATGTATGCATGGATTTTGAAGTTGACAATATTGAACTAATTCTGTCGATAAAACTAGCAGTTTGAATAGTTCACGTTATGTGAATTACAAAATTAAAAAATTGATCAACAAATTCTAAAATAATTGATCATGTGTTTTGAACGATCATCGCCAGGTTCATTTTCATCATGAACAATAACAATGATAACGGTGGTATGTTTTATTACGTGTACTGAAAGATTATTTTTTTTTTCAGAATATTAAATATCATCAATAATTTTAATTCCAATTTAAAAATAAAAGAAGAAATGGGTATTTGCTCCAGATGTGGTGACTGTGTCGAGAAAAATCTAATGGATCAACATATTAATAATACGTGCTCCTCATACATCTTTGACATGTCATCATCGCCTTCTTCTAAAATCTCGAATTTTCCAAAAGTAAGAATAAATAAAAGAATAATTAAAATTTTTAATTAATTGTCATAAATAATAATGATTATTTGCTAAATCCAAAAAGCGTAAATTTACATTCGATGATTGGAAGATTCCTTCTAAATCACAATCACCATCGCAATCACCTAAATCATCACCATTTTTATCATCATCATCATCATCAAGTAGTAATAGAAATAGTTTGAGAAGATTCAATACATCTTTTAACAAATCTTTCTCTTCCTCATCCTCTCCCAAAATTAGTTCCAATGACAATAAGGCAAAGACTTTTTTTCAAGGGTCACAATCTCCTAATCAAATTAAAAAAATAAAACCAAACAACTCAAAAGTTGAATTTCTTCCATTATCTTCTAAAGGTAAAGAATAATCTATTTTAAAGTTTGCTTATAAATAATATTGAAAATTAATAATAAAATTTTTACATCTAGTTAGACCAAGTAACCTTGATTCATTTGTGGGTCAAGATGAGTTGATCGGCGAGAAAGGAATTCTAAGAAATTTAATATTACTAGACAAAATACCGTAAGATTTCTTAAAATAGGATTTTTTCTTTCTAATAATTTTTTAAATTCAATTTTTATTTTTATTTTTATTTTTATTTTTCTAGATCAATGATATTATTTGGAAATAGTGGAACTGGAAAAACCACACTTGCAAGAGTATTACAATTATTATTATAATTTGTTATAGTAAAATCCTTTAGTTATATTGTTATGTTCACATTTATTTGTTTGACTAGATAATTGCAAATACGACAAATTCTGTATTTAAAGAATTTTCTGGAACTTCTCATGGTATTTTGTTAAAATCTTTTCTCAAACATATATCATTTCCTAAATGTTTATTATATTAATTAAATATTATATTCTTTATTATTTAAAGGTTCTGTTGATATAAAGTAAAGTAAATTGTTTAAAATATTAAATTACATTAAAAGTTTCTCTCATTGAAACCTAAATTATATAATAATAGAAAAGCTTTTGATGAGGCAAAGAATGAGCAAAAGTTGTTAGGACATCGTACTATAATATTTTTGGATGAAATGTAATATTCAATTTATTTATTTATTAGAAATTGAAAGAATTTACTATACTTTGATTTAAATTTATTTAATCTGTTATAGTCATCGATTTAATAAGGCTCAACAAGATTTATTTCGTAAATTTTTAATAATCAAACTATTCATTTTCATCTCATATTATATCTTTATCTAATCCATGCGTATTTTCTTTCTTCTAGTTCCTTATATAGAATCTGGTTCGGTCACTTTAATAGGTAATCATAATAATAATATAATAGTATAACAGTATAATAGTATTCCATTTATTTATTTATATACATACTATCTAGGAGCCACAACTGAAAATCCTTCATTTAAGATAAATTCCGCACTTCTCAGTCGGTGTATGGTTTTTGCATTAAAAAAATTATCTACTGATGAAATACTTATCATTTTGAAAAAAGCTTTGGCACAAGAAATTTCTCCACAAAAAATTGTTAATGTTGATGATGTTGACTCAGTTATGGATGATGATGTTGAACAATTCGAGAATATTATAGATGATGAATCATTGAAGTTTTTAGCAGTAATTAGTGATGGTGATGGTAATTAATTAAAAATTATAAGCTATTATATACATAAAAATAATTAGCAATAAAAAATTATTAATTAGTTATTAATTGGTTTTGAAGCTAGAGTTGCGCTTAATGCACTTGAGGTTGCTTTAAATATGAGTAAACGTGAACCAAGAAGAACAAAATTAAACAAAGATGATATTAAAAAAATATTTCAAAAATCTCATTTATTATATGATAAAGACGGCGAAGAACACTATAATATAATTAGTGCACTTCATAAAAGTATGCGTGGAAGGTAAATATCAAACTTCTTTTCGGTGAAATAAAATATTTTAATGAATATATTTATCATTGTTTAATATATATATATATATATATATTTGTAGCGATCCTAATGGTATGATGAAATTTTTCCTAAAAAAATTATGTTTTAAATTTATCATTAAAACAAACAAAAAATATTCAATTACATACATATCTTTGTGTTTTATTTAGCAAGTTTATATTGGTTGGGCCGTATGTTAACAGCAGGAGAAGATCCATTGTATATAGGTAATATATGAATTAAATAATAAAGTCAAGGTAATAGATGTACTAATTATTTTTCATCCTTTTAATTAGCTAGAAGATTAATCGTATTTGCTTCTGAAGACGTTGGACTTGCGGATAACAGTGCTTTACCTTTGGTCATTATTATTTAATTAATAATTTATTTTTCATTTTTATTATTACAATAATTATATTTATATATATATATACACGCACACATATACACAGGCTATCTCAACTTATCAAGCATGTCAATTCATAGGAATGCCAGAATGTGAAATAAATTTGGCTCATTGCGTTGTTTATTTGGCTGAAGCAAAGAAAAGCATTAGATCTTATAAGGCTTATAAACTTGTAAGTATCGATTATTATCAACCATTAAAAATTATAATATTTATATTATCTATATATATATATATATATATATATATATAGGCAAAACAAACTATTAAAGAAGAATATGCTTATCCTGTTCCATTACATATTAGAAATGCACCTACTGGACTAATGAAGGTAAATTATTTATAACACTTTATTTAATTTAATAAAATCAATAAGCATTTTAATTTATTATTGTACTGTCATTGTTGTTTATTTTATATTTTATTTAAGGAACTTGGATATGGGGAAGGTTATAAATATAATCCTGGCTATGAAGGTCCTGTTTATCAAGAATATCTTCCGCTAGAATTAAAAAATAAAGTATTTCTTGATGTTGAGGGAGAAAAAAAAGTTGATCGCTCATTTGTGCATGAAGAGATGGATTAGTGGGATTAATGAGTACATGGATGGATTAATAAATGAATGAAAGATGAATGGATTAATGAATCAGTGGATGTATGGATGGGTGGATGTATGGATAAATGAATTTCATGTAAATTCTTCAAATCAATTTTTTTCGTTTCAATTAGTAGAATTATAATTTGGCATAACAAATCACCAAGTTTTGATTTGTATGCAGTTTTGCTCCTTGTTAATATGTTTATATTAAAAAATTTTGTAAATAATTATAATAATTTTAAACAGTTAAAAATATTTTTGTCTCCACCATCCCATCTCCATATCAGCTAGCTATAAAATGCATTATCGTAAATAAATTTGTTTGGTCCAAGTCATTTGATAAAAGGTTTAAAATTCAACTTGCTGCTGCTAAATTGATTCATTCGGTAGATGATAATCCTCGATAGTAACTATAATTCTTTGGGTATGTACAAGTAAATTCTGTTAACTATTTTGATATATTAATTTTTGGTCTATTTTCCAAATCACGATCCCATGGAATTCTGGAGTATCTATCATAGAATGGTAAAAATTAAATTAGTTGCATGACGGTGCATAATAATCAATTGCTTCAATTGGTTAGCTTCATATAATTGAACAATTCATCGAACCCCATCAAGTGTTGAATATTTATCAAAACCACTTGGATATTCTGAGGATCATAAAAATAATGAATGGGAGGAACCATTGATGCTGAAATATTATGCAATAGTTACAGTAATGGTAGAAGCAATGAATGAATGGTAAGAGAATCTTAATAGAATTGTTGTGCTTGATATATTTGGTGATGATTTACACTAAACTTAATGCTATATATTTAATTTTTTCATGATGTTGATAAAATCAGTGATCTGCATAAAAAAATTTGTGCACATATGATCAAATTCGTAAAGCTACAAATTATGGAAATAAATAGTTCTTTTGAATTAATCTTCCTATTTTTTTTTTATCTTCTCAATATTCACATGCTTTCTCAAAATTAAAGTCTTCAATTTCAGGTCCATTTAATAAAATCATTAAATGATTATTTAATGTATCAAGATTCATTTTGTTCCTTAATTTATTCTTTAATCAACTTTGTTTGGGAAGATATTCTTTCTACATTAGCATTTGAAAGAGGTATAATTAGAGATATTTTAATTAGGAGGGATATGTTTGAGTAATTAAAAGTCTTCATCTGTGTCAAAAATGAATTTACAAAACATATTTTTATTTGGTACTATATACGTATTATAATTTGCACATAAAATGATCCACATTTTTAGTGCAACATGCTGCGTCCGCACCTCCGCACACTGAATTTCTAACACTGGATAAAATAACATTTAGAATTTTAGAGTTATAAAAAAAAAATTTAAAAATCATGTCGCTTAAAGATAAAGTTATATTTATTAGTGGTGCATCGCGGTAAAATAATCGAGTTTTTTTAATTAATTTTTTAAATGAACCATTTTTTAACATTCGTTGTCATACAGAGGTATTGGTTTAGCGATTGCTTTAAGAGCTGCAAGGGATGGAAGGTTAATAACAAATAATTATTATAATTATACAATAGTTCTTCAATGTAGAATAGAATTTATAACAAAGAATATTAATCAATTTACACTATTAATAATACTTACTATATAGTAAAATTGTTGTAGCTGCAAAGACCACTACACCACATCCAAAAGTAAATATAATTAATTAATATGATAAATGCTAATGACATTAATAATGATAACAATATTAATTATTACTTTTTATATATTTTTTTAAACAGCTTCCAGGAACTATTTATACAGCAGCTGAAGAAGTTGAACGCGCAGGTGGAAAAGGTGACAACTATCAAATCAATCAAATAATTAAGTCAAAGTGGTTATACTAAATAATCAATCTATCACTCAATAATTGTCACGAATTTTATTATATAGCGTTTCCTTTGGTATGTGATATTCGCGATGAAGAATCGGTTAAATCTGCTATTGAGAAAACAGTAGAGAGATTTGGTGGAATTGATATTGTTATTAATAATGGTACTTGCTATTAATAATATACCATGATGTAATTTATTCATACATGTACATATTATTTATTAATGCATTTACATATATATGTATTATAGCTTCTGCAATATCATTAACAAATACTCAAGACACCACTTTAAAAAAGTATAATCTTATGCATGAAATTAATGCTCGCGGAACTTGGTTGGTTACTAAAGTAATAATATTAATCAATAATGTCTATTTTTTAACATTATGATTTATAATTAATATATTATATTATAAATATTAACAAAAGCTTTATATTATAATAGTATGCATTGCCACATCTTATAGAAAGTGGAAAGAATGGTAGAAATCCTCATGTTTTGAATATAAGCCCTCCACTATCATTAAGAGAAGAATGGTTTTCAGGTCATGTTGCTTACAGCATGGCAAAATTTAATATGTCGCTTAGTATTTTGGTAATTATCTTTAATATAAATTTTTTCATACAAATGACTTTAATTAGTTATTTGTTTTTTTTTTTGTAAAATAGGGATGGGCTGGTGAATTTCGTTCACATGGAATCGCTGCAAATGGTAAATAATCAATCAATCAATCAATTTCTCTGGTAAATGATATCATCTCATAATAATGTTTCTCTTTTTTTGTTCAAAAATAGCTTTATGGCCATTAACAGTAATTGATACTGCAGCTTTAAATGTTATAGGTAATAAATAAATTAAATAACATATTTGTTTAATTCATAAATGATTTAAAATATTAATTAATCAATTGATGATTATAGATATGATGGCATCTTCCAGGGCAAGAAAACCTGATATAATGGGTGATGCAGCTCATGTAATTCTTACCAAAAATTCAAGAGAATTTAGGTAACAATCATCATTATTAATAATAATAATATATCATTAATAAAAACATACAGCCAACCAACATTATTCCTATTATATATTTTATGATTTAGTGGAAACTTTTTAATCGATGAAGTAGTTTTACGTGAAAATGGACAAAAGAAATTTGATCATTACGCTGCAATTCCTGGTAATGAAGATATACAAGAAGATTATTTTATTGAGCCAGAAATTTTTGAAAAAATGAAATCATTATGGAAAAAAGGAAAAACTTCAAATTCAAAATTATAAATGTTATAATAATAATAATTCTATTTATTTATTTGATAAATAATATAATAATAAATTAATTTTTTTAATAAATTTCTACCAGTTACTAAAATCACCAAAATTATTACTTTTTGGTTTTACTTTTTTACGACCATACTTTGATGTATCACTTATAATCATTTCGTTTTTTTTCATCTTCTTTCCTTTATCATCATCACCATCACTGACATTATCATCATCACCGCTACCTTCTTCTATTTCTTCAAATTCACGTTTTTTAGAAAGTTGTGTTTTGAAATATTTACCTACGGGAATAGATGAATCTTGTGTAGATGATGATGATAACCTTGAACTGGTTAATTTCGTGCCAAACCATGTAGTATTATCTTTTACAGTTTTTACTGGTAGTTTTTTAACTTCCTGATCTTTTTTTAATTTCTTTTCCAAATCTTTTTTATACTCTTCATATGGATCAATAAATACCGTCACCTCACTAATCTTAATTTCCTCCAATGGACGATCTGATTCATCTGTTGGCACTGATTCCATCTTGTCTAAAACTTCTTTACCACCAACCAATTTTCCAAATATTGTATGTTTATTATCAAGATGTGTACATGGCCGAAACGTAAAAAAGCTACAAAACAAAATAATAATAATCAATAATTTTTTATAAAAATTAATTACAAAATTTTACAAAGTACTTACAATTGTGATGAATTTGTGTTTTTCCCGCGATTAGCCATACTTAATAGACCTCTTTCATTGTGTGAAAGATTACTTTTGAATTCATCTATAAAATCTTTTTTCCAATATGATACACCGCCTTTACCTGTTCCTGTTGGATCACCACCCTGAATCTATATATATATGCGTATGCATTTTATTTATATATAGTGATAATTAGTGATTATTATTTTTTTAATATGCAGTATGTAAAGAGTTGTTAATTAACTTACCATAAAATTTTTTATTTTTCGATGAAATATTACACTAATATAAAAAGTGATATTAATTAAATAATTGATTTTTTTCTAGTTAACCAAACAAACAAAACAAACAAACCCATTGTAATATCCTTGTTTAGAAAGCATCACAAAATTGTAACAAGCACGTGGTGACTTGTCACTAAAAAGTTCAATATTCAAGTTCCCAAGATTGGTCACTATACGAGCATAACCTTTTGATTTTATTTGACCAAGCATAAATTCTTCTTCATCTATAAGTGCATTCTCATTCTCTGTTATTGGTGTCATTGCCGTTGACGTAAATGATGCTGCAGCCAATCCACGGGAATATGATGCTGCATTATATGGAATACTTTTTTTTGAGGTTTTTATTGGAGTTGTAGAAGTTGATGTTGATGAAGAAGTAGTCTTTTGATCTTGCTTACTCTTTTCACTAGACTTTAAAATTATTTATGCAATATTTTAATAATTTCATATTTATAAAAGATTATTTATTAAATATACTTACATCATTTGATATTTTTTTTAGGATACGTGCAGCAGAACCTGTAGCATTCACATTTATATTACTCAACGAATCTTGTTTTTCTTCATCCTTGATTTTTAAATTATTTTTTATGTAATGGAATTTAGTAAAATCTCTTGATTCAATATTATGAGGATCTTGAATAGTTATGAGATCATCTCGTTTAAATGGTTCATCGGTTAATAAATCTTTCCAATATTTAGGTTTAATATTCAAACGTTCAATTGCTTCATATGAGTAAACATTCCCAGTAGTTTTTATAGCTACAATATGTGCATGGTCATTGAAAACTTTATACGTTGCTGGGCAATAATATTCATCTAAGAGAGAAGTAAAGAACGCGTAAAAAAATATTTTTGTAGAAAATTGTAAAAATATTGTATTTCAAAAAAAATAATTACATATTTACCATCAGAGTTTTTATAAAAATTAAGTTTGATTAAAGTCTTTAGATCTAATTTTTTACCAGTAACAGGATTTGTTCCATGTTTCTTTACATATGCATAAATATTGCTTGATTTTTTTTTATTATTATTAAAAATAAATTTTTAATTAATTAATTAAGTGAATTAACAAAATATTATAAAGATAAATGTTTTTGCATATATGTAATATACCTTAAATCAAAAATCATGCCATCAGGGGTACATACAGGGTGTTCAAATGGCTGAAGTGATAATGAACAATAGTTGAATGGTAACTTTTTAAATTCATTTGGTTTCTTCCTCGATTGTATCCCACCAAATTGCATTCCACCAAACTCACCAGACCACTCTACATACAAAATGCATATAGGAGAATTTAATAAATTATTTATTTAAATAGTAATAATAATAATAATAACCGTTAGGACCTATAAAGATTCATTCATTCAATATTACCTGAATGTGTAATATACCTATAAAATAAATTTTTCTTTATATTAGCATGTTTGTTTTTATTAAATCATAATAAATAATAAATAAATAAATTTATATATATATATATAAGTAGATAAATGGATGCATGACTTGATTCATACATTTTATCTGTTCCTTTGCCCATTTTTTCAAGATTTTATAAACGAGGAAAAAAATTAGTATTAATAAATTTGTATTACCATAAAAATTAAATAAAATAAATTTAATTACTAACCTCTTACATTGAACTTATAACTCGGTACAAGACAGCTTACTCTGGTGTAAGCCCCAACGTGGCGAACAACTCTCGTTATGTTTCTGTAATATACTTTAAAAGTGGGCTCCGTTTATACCTGACCTGTCAATGATAGTTTTACAAGGTATACACATTTAAGAGTCTTCTGACCGCCCAAGTTATGTTTGATGGCTCCACAACATCCATAAGTTTTCCCAGTATATATTTCTCAATGAAGATGACCACCTTTCACCAAGGATACTCACGAGATTTATGGAGTAAATCGGTAATGTGACCAGGCCATCATTGAATTTTTCTAAAACCTCTGTCCATTTTAACCATGTGTTGTAATTTAAATTCAGAGAGTAAACAATATGATAGTTCTCACATAACAATTTTGATAATTTACGATGGCATTCGTTCACAAGATTGCGAATTTTCCTATTTTCCTTACCATGAATAGAATCCCTTTTCTTTCACTTTAGATTTATCATGTTGACAGCATAAGCGATTTATTCTACTCGTATAACCATTTCCCATTCTTTAATCTCGCGTGAGAGTTCTCACACGAGAAATGATTCCAGCCCTTTATTCTCTTTAATTGTTGAAAATCCATGAGCTTAGTTATCAGCCTTAACTTCAAGTGGTATCAGTAGAATTCATTTGCTAATTAATTAGTGAATGAAAAAAAATTTATTTTTTATCAATTATTTGATAAATTTCTAATTCATCGAATTTACCATTTACTATATTGATGTTGTCATAAGTCCTTCTTGGACTACAATAAACACTACTATCTACACTAAACCAAATATCACCAATGCATCCGAAAGTAGGTAAATAAGTAGGATTACAATAAATTGCATTATTGTAATCATTATTAATAACATAACTAATTAGTGCACTATTAATATCATTTCTATTTCTAATATTAAAAATAAAACTTTCAGTTGTCTTCTTATGTTCACTTCCATTCCAACTAAGTGGATTATAACCACCAAATATTTGCTCTGAATTTCGTTTTTTGCCAACTACAAGGGTTTTGTTGATATTATCGCATTTTTGATGGAATGTAATTTCATTTAAACCATCTCTACTACTGCGATATAGAAGTTTGAATTCATATTTGACTTTCCTGAATGAAGTGTATGGTGGATTTTTTCTATCAATCCAATTTGCAAAAAGCAAAGTAAGATTTCGGTTGATTGTCATTGATTCAAGTTTTGAATTTCTTGATGGTAATAAATTCAATGTTTGTTGTCTACCAGGAGCTATATAAGATTGTAAAAGGGGTTTCCATAAATTCCTAGGAAAAAGCATATTGTATGGTTCAATCTTATCAAAAAAATCATCTCTAGAAATATCCTGGAATCTTATTAGAGAAAAAAATTCTTTTAATGTGCTGCCCAAATCAACAAAGTTTTGTGATGACCAATCTCCAACATTGACCTTATTGATTTCTGGATGTTTTGCTAATCCCCATTTAAGAATATTTTCCCAAATAACTATTTCATCAACAGAAAAATCTTTTCTTTTGAGAATTTCCAATAAAACTGGTTTTTTCAACATTTCAAATTCATTTGACTGAAATAATTTTTCACTATAATTACAAAATTTTTCTAAGTAGATATTTTTCAATTCCTTATATTTTTCATTAGCAAAAATCAACTGTAGAATTTTAACTGGATTTTCTTTTATATAATCATCATAATTTTCAATAAAGTATTTCATCATATATTCATATAGTGATTCAATACCAAGTCTATCCGCTGCAATTAATAGTTTTAATACTTCATCTCCAGAATAGTTTTTAAATTCAATTTTACATGTGTATAAAAACCTTTCAAAATAATAAATTATTATTTACTATATATTTAATATAATAAATAATTAAACTATTTAAACTTACTTGAGAATAGGGTTGAAAAGTTTTTCACTAATATTAATTTTCTTAATAATATAATATCCATTTTCTTTTGTTGCATTACTTAATGCATTGCCAAAAAATGAACAATGGGCTGATATGATGGATGCATGTGCATGAATTTCTTTAATGTGTGGTTCTACACCAATATATATTTTTACATCATAAAGTTCTTCAGTGTTTAATAATCTTTCATTATCGTTAAAATATTTTTCAAATATTGAATTCATTTTATTTATTTTTTTTTTTTATAAAAATGTTTATTTGGAAAAAAAAAATTTGTCATGATGGGATCTTTAAATTATACTTTTGCTAACTATGACACGTCATCTATAATAGTAAAATGTAATAAATTGCTTGTATGTCGATCACTGACATCTATATTTAGGACAATAAACAAAAAAAGAATTCAATTATTTTCATTGGTGCAAAACTTCATAGTAACGCAAATTGAGGCAAATTATCGTCGATCACTTACGTTTTATGGAGAGGGTTTTGGTCGAAATAATTAAAATTTTGAGGTGGAGTGTTTGGATATGAAATTCTGATTGGCTAATTTGAATTTTACATATGTGAACTGCAAATTCACAGTAAAGCCGCAAATGGCCATAACAGATTATATAGTTTTCTTATCCCAAATTCAAATAATGAAACAATGAAATAATAAATTGAAAAAACATTGTAAAATACTATATGCCAGGATTTATTGGAGTGTCATATAAGTAGATCAGCAAATTTAATAATGATAATGTAAATCAATATGAATAATGGATTCATATAATTTTTTGAAAGGTATGTATATATACAACACGAGCATAGATAATAATCCGATCATTGGCTGTTATTGTATTACAAAAATCAAGTGAAATTAACAATGAAAACCATGACATTCAATTTTTTAACTTGTCTAAATTCAAAGAAAATTTCTTCTAAAAATTTTCTTTCTTTCATCAGGACTAATTAGATCGACAAGAGGATTGATTTCACAGCTTATTTTCACCAAAATCTAATTATAATTATATTGATATACTTAACAATCATGAGTTTATGTAATATATCCTGATTACATGAACCAAAATTTTTTCGGCTTACGCCTTTATTCATTTTATTAATGATAAATGATAGTTAGAATTTTTATTTATTGAATTATCTATTATTTTTTTATGTCACGCGTTAAGTTAAAATGTAAATCATCATCACAAATTTTGGATGTTATGACCAACTTTGTTATTAATAAAAATCAAAATCCAATTCCGCTCAGGAAAGAACAGGAATAACAGAACATTTGTGCAAATTTTGAGGTGGTGTTATATAGTCTGTGCAGCGCCATTTTTCTAAGGGTACTTTTTCGATTTTACAATACCCTTCACAAATTGTTGATTTTTTTTGAAATGTCTATTAAATGTGTGCAAACATTCTGGCAATAAAAAGTAAGTGATAAACTAGATTTGAATTGGATCTGAACTTGATCTCCAATTTAGAGCGGTAAAAACTATATACTAGTGAAGTTTCAGGAGCAATGGGTTCTGTATAACATTTCGTGTAACAACAAACTTTTAATAGCCAAATGTTATTATTTTTATTTTTTATCAACTATTTGAAAAACTTACAATTCATCAAATCTACTATATTAATGTTATTATAAGCCCTTGAAATACTAATAATGCTATTATCTGGTTTAAAATAAACAGTCCACCATGTCCAAATACAGGTAAATAAGAAGTACTACAATAAATTGCATACTCAGAATCATTATTAATGACATAACTAAATTGTACAGTATTAATATCATTTCTATTATTTATATTTAATATATAACTTTCTGTTGTATTTTTAAATTCATTAAATCTATTCAAATTGAGGGGATTATTATGGCCACCAAATATTTGCTCTGAATTAAAGCTTGAACGAATCAATGAAATTCGAACCGATTTGAATCAAATCGAATCACCTAATTTTTGATTCAAATTCGAATTATACTCTGATTCGATTTGATTCGATTCTAACTGATTCAACTTAACTCGATTCGAACTAGCGATGGTGGGCGAAATTGCGTTTAGTGGGCTGTAATTTCCGAAATTAATTGGCCTAAACTTTGACGAAACTAATTTTAATGGCTGAAATTGGGAGTTTTTTAAAATAAAGTAGATTGATTTAGATACTTATTATATGTATTGGAACTACCTTTTTTTCAAAAACAGTTTCGGCTACCATCACTAAATAATATCCTTTATCAATTAAAAATTTTAAAATATATACAATCTTGGTTTAGCAGATAGAAATTTTTTCCAAAAATCCGGTTTATTATATTCCAACCTTGTCGCAGCAGACTATAAATCATAATAATAATTAAATTCTTATCATAATGGATTTTTAAAATTTCTGCTTCACATATAAAACATATAAAATTTTTCTTATTATTATGTGTCTATCCATTGTGACTATAACAAGAAATCCGTTATATTGAAAAGAATTTTATTTTTATTATTATTAAACCTCAATCTGTTATTATCCATTAAATTGAGGTACACTACATTGAAATCCACTGTATTTAACATGACATTAAGAAAAATATAGGAATCCGGTTTGATTCAAATTGAGCCACAAATCAAATCAAATCGAATCACTCTAAAATTCGATTCGATTCGTTCGGAGCCTTACTCTGAATTTTGTATTTTGCCAACTATAAAAGTTTTATTGATGGAATGTAGTTTCATTTAAACCATATCTACTACTACAGTATAGAAGTTTGAATCCATGTTTGACTTCCCTGAATGAATGATCCAAGTGTTGTGTTCAATTTTGAAATCCTTGGTGGTGGTATTTTAATGTTTGTTATCTATCAGGAACTACATAAGATTGTAAAAGGGATGTCCATAAAGTCGTAGGAATCTTATTAGAGAAAAAAATTCTTTTAATAAAATGATCGACATGATATCATCATATGGGGGCTGTTCTAGGAAAAAGTGGGTTTCGACCCTCAGATTCAAAAATGAGATATTTATACCAAATTAATCTA